GAACTGTTTGGTGGTTACCAGGGGCTAGGGGGGTGGGGGGTGGGCACAAGGGGTGGAGGGATGCACTTATATGGTGACTGACAAACAATAATGTAGAACAAAAATTCACAATAAAAAAAAAAATACAGAATCCAGGGGCCGGTCTGGTGGTGTAGCAGTTAAGTGTGTGCACTCCGCTTTGGCGGCCCAGGGTTCACAGGTTCGGATCCTGGTGCGCACCAATGCACCGCTTGTCAAGCCACTCTGTGGCGGCATCCCATATAAAGTAGAGAAAGATGGGCACGGATGTTAGCCCAGGGCCAATCTTCCTCAGCAAAAAAAGAGGAGGATTGGCATTGGATGTTAGCTCAGGGCTAATCTTCTTCACACACCCACACACACAAAAGCATAGAATCCAGATTAAGAGACAGGCCTCTGTTAAAATCAGGCAAGCGGCAGTAGTGAGCATGCAACTGATGTTCACATGTGCCAAACGCTTCACACACATGCTCACATTTCATCCTCCCATCAAAGCCCAGGAAAGAGGCAGTGCTGTTATTCCGTTTACAGAGAGGTCGGGTGACCCGCCCACGGTTGTGCTGCTAGTAAATTGCAGACCCAGAACTTGAATCCCAATCTGATCCCAAGCCCATGCTCTTCACCTCTCCACTTCCCCTTCCTCTAATAGGAAGCAAGAGAGCCAATCCTTTTCTGCACTGTATTCCAGCATATTTCCAATAAGGCCTACAAGAAAACACTACTCTGCGGCCTTTAAGGAATCAAAGCAGCTGTTCTTTGAATATGATCCATTGTGGACACAATCATAGCCCCTTTAGAATGATAACTGGTTCTGAAGAGCCCCCAGCAGTTCAGGAACATTACAGGACCTTCCAAACACCAGCTCCCCTCCAACCCCCCCCCAGCAGACAAAAGGAGCCCAGAGAACAGGATTCCACAGGGCCCCTGGGTCCCGCGCTGCCACGCATCAACACACCAGCACCCCTGAGAGTCCCTGGCTGCACTGGCCCCCTGGTCACACGTGACTCACCTGGGATGTGCTTGGCCCAGCCAATGATGACCACGAGCTCCCTGTCGGCCAGGTCACAGAGAGTGGTCAGGGCCTTGATGTCCCCCTCAGGCATGCCAGGGGGAGGCATGGCGTAGAGTTTGTCCGGCTCAGCCACCAGCAGGTAGGAGACAATCTTGGTCACTGTGAAGACCAAAGGGAGAATGTAAACGCCTGGGAACAGAGGAAAGGGGCCGGGGTGGAGCCTGGGATGGCTCAGGAAGAAAAGTCAGGTTCTGAGGAGCCCCAGGAAGGTCACACGTGGCTGCCATCTCCCCTCCCTTTCTGACTCCACAAAGTTGCTGGTAGTAGTGACTTGGGCTGTTGAGGAACATCCCTCCAAGGGAAGTTGCCTGGTGAATTCTCCCCAGAGGAACCTGCTTCAGGTGGGAGGTGAGGGGCGCATGTTCTGGATGCGGGGGCCCATGCCGCCTTAGGACCATGTTTCGTGTGGAGCCACATTCTGTAACATCCCATACAGAAAGGCGTTCTGAACGAAGTATCACTCTGAAGTATCTGACACCAACGCCAGGCATGGATGTCACTTCCCCAAGATCTACACTGTCCCATGACTCAGCGGTGGGAAGATCGCATTTCCCCAAACATGGCCAGATGTTCTGGCTACAAATGCTAACAAAAGGGGCCCCGACTACCCTGGCACTCACATGGCTTTTTAGCAGGTGGAGAAATCTGTAAGCTCAGGTAGGGGCTGCTCTCGGAGTCCAGCCGTCGCTTATATTTCTGCCGGCCTCCACGCACTCGGTCTAGGCGCACACCTGCCGAAGGGGAAAGGGAGAAGGTCTCAAGAGCTGTTTAACGGCACGCACAGGACAGCACGGGGGTGGTAGCACAGACTTTGGAATTTCAAAACTGGCTAAATCCTTCAGGGCCACACCCAGATGGCCTTTTACAGCTGCCTCATTACCAGCCTCAGGCCAAGAGGTCAGACAATCCTAAAACAATTGTCTAACAACAATGGCCCATCCCACTTGCCCCAGGCCTGGTCCTACCTCTTGGATTCAGCATCCTCCTGAAATCCTCCTAAGCAACCTTCCGTCCTTGAGTCTTTCTGTCCCCAAAAGAGAAAGCACCACAAGAGCACTCCTCCAAGTGTTGGGGAGAGAAGACACGTTATTTTAGATCCGCTGTGAATCCAGGGAGGTTTGAGTTAGTTTGCCAAGAAAAAGAAGGAATCTCTGCCATTAGCAGGCACCTCAGAAGAGCTAAAAGAAGGATTTCCAAACTTTTCACGTAAGAAGACTGGGGGGGATGGTGCTAGTTACAAATGTCAATTTCTCACCTTCAGAGATTCCAGGATGGGGTTCTGGAGTCTGTCTTTCTACACAAAGTCCCCACGAGATGGGGTGCATGCAGGTGGTCAAGCCACACCTGGAAAATCAATGCCTAGAAGTATCTTGATAGCAGGTGCAAACGCAGTTGTGGCTACTCCACACGGACACCCACTTCCAGGAGTGAGGCCCTATCCTAGAGAGATCTGTTCCTGTCTCTGGGTCCATACCGCCTTCAAGAAACTCGCCCCAACCCCAGCTCCTGCTGTCTACACAGACATGTGGGTACCATTTGACACTCCCACCAGCAGGCAGGGTGGGCAAGACCTCAAATAGGCTCCTCAGCCAAAGGCACTCAAGCTCAGATGACCACCTACATGTGTGGTCCAACCTGAAAAGATGGATGGGACCCATCAAGTCAGCTCCAAAATATGAACTTAGGCAGAGAGCAGAGCTCTCCTTTCCTTACCATGAAACGGGCCTTGACTAAAACACATAAGAAGTCAGAGACAGAGCCGGTCCCGAGAGGAAGACAGCTCGCAGTGACCCCCTCAGCCTCTGAGGCGATGGGCCACGTTCAACTTCCTGTTCCTTCCCCAAAGGCCAACAGCATCACCTCACAGAGCCCCAGTCAGCGATCTTCAGGGCCCTGCCGGGCATTTCCCTCTGGGATTCCTCCTGCCCGTCCTTTGCTTCTCCCATCCTCCTAGCACAAGATGGTGCAAGCCGCTCCTATCAGTCCAGCCCTTTCTTGGAGAGAGGCAAGAGAGACGCAGGAATACAGTCGTGCGCCGTTTAACCACGGGGTTACATTCTGAGAAACGCAATTTCATCCTTGTGTGAGCATCACAGAGTGTACTTACACTAACCTAGATGGTAAAGCCTACACACCCAGGCTACATGGTACTAATCTTACAGGACCACCATCGTCTATGCAGTCCTCATCCATATGGTCCTTAAGTCAAGTCGTTATGCGGGGCGAGGATTTAGATCCCATTCATGCCAGGGGTGATTTTCTGGCTGTTTCTTAGGACGTACAGCTACTAAATTTAAGTCCCTGGGACAAAAGAGGAAGTCTCCCTAGGGCGACGAGAGCAATTGCAAGTAGAATTACTTTGTTTACTGAATGGGCAAGGACCGTCCCTTTAAATGCTAACTGCCCTTGGGAAGGAGGAATCTGGATTGAGGAATGCGGCCATCCCCACGGGCTTCCAGTGATGGCTCAGACCACACCCTCCTCCCAGAGGGCAAGGAGGATGCTGTGAGCAGACCGCACCCAGCAGACCGCCCAGGGGGAGGGGACTGTCCCTCTGGGGCCAGTCACCGCTCGGCACTTTCATCAGCAGCGACCTTTTCACGCACATCTTGGCACTTCTGTACTTGACGCTGAATACAGCTGTGATGAACTTTTTTTTTGAGGAGCGGGTCTACCCAGCATCCCACCCCTGCTTTCTATTTAATGGTAGTTCCCCTACTGTGGGTCAACTCATTGGGGTCCTATGCCCACCCACCACTATTGATATCTAAGTGGTCCAGGTCCTCCTCCTCTCCACCCTCTGGGGGTCGAAGCATGAACTGGTGACCCAGGCACAGCCAGTTGGAGCCTGTGATCAAATGGCACAAAGACAGAGGGAGGGTGAGGAGTGCTCAGGGCAGCAGTAGTGCCCCGAGCAGCAGGGGTGTGGGCAGCCCTGGGCCAGATTCCTGGTGACTGCATCTCCTGTGCCGGGCTCTTGGGGCTTCCTGGTCCTTGTCTGGCTTCTAAGTGTGCTCCTTGAACCTCTTGATAGGCTTCCAATAAACTCCCCTTCTGCCTTGAGGGTCAGAATGGGTTGCAACTGATCACATCTGTAGGTGGGTTCTCCAGGAGCCGACCCTGAGACAAGGATGTGTGTGCAGGCAGTTGACTGGGGAGGCGAGCTCAGGAAGAAAGCCGATAAACGAGCGTGTTCCTGAGTAGGTCACTGCCATGGGCAACTGATGCCCAACCTCATCAAGGACCTTGGGAGACAGTGTAGAACACGCCTCTGCTACCCGCTGTGGATGAGGGCCTTGGGGTAGTGAGCCACCTCTCCTGGCAGTCACTGGCAGCTCACAGGTCCAGGCTGAGCAGACTCTGCTGGCCAGAGAAAGCCCCAGGCAGAGTTGCAGTTACTAGACAGCAGGGCAGCATGCACGTGATAGAGTGCTGAGTAAATGCAGGTGACGTACCGACTGCTGCCTTCTCAGAGTGTGGTCCACGGGCAGCAGCATCAGCATCAGCATCATCTGGGAGCTTGTTAGGAATGCAAAAATCTCAGGTCTACTCCCCCGTACCCCCTCTCCATCAGGGTCAGCATTTTAACAAGGCGATTAGTATCCACAGGAGAGTTTGAGAAGAGCTGCACCACAGCATCCCAGTGCCTAACCAACTTCCATCACTACTTGGACCTTGAAGGGGAGAGCAGAATCCCATCCAGCACAAGACCTACCTGTGCTGGTAGGACTTCCGCCCTTATTTGCCCCCCTCCCCTCTCCCAGCCCCTCAGTGACGGCAGAAGGAGCGGGTACACAAAGGCAGGAAGGATGCTTCTTCCCTTGAAGGTTTTTGAGGAAAAGCTCCCTGTTTAGAAGAGTTTTGCCAACCCCCTCCTGTGACGCAGCCACAAAGCAGCTCACCTCTGCCTACTACACCCAAGGTGGGCCAGGCTCCACCAAGCTCTGCTTCCCCTGGGAAAGCTGGCAAGACCACGAGTGAAAATGCCAAGCTTCATTCATAAAGGACGGTGAGGCCCCCATTTCCTGAGCACCTACTATGCGCCAGGGTCTGATGGGGAGTCCGGGATGAGCCCCTTCCCCACTTCACTGACCTTCTCTCCTAGAAGCCAGTCTCATGAGCTCTCCCCTCCCACCCCACCTGCCTGACCCCAGAGCAGTGGGAACTGCCCCACAAAAAATAAAAACAGGCGCCCATCCCTTAGCAAGGCAAGGAGATGGGCAGTTGCCACCTCTGTTGCTGCGTCCATCTGGAATGTTCTCTGTCCTGATACAGGGCGTGGCCCTTAGTGGGTGTTCAAGAAAGTCTTGAGGCATACAGGAATGGATGTGCCTCCTTCCCACCCTCCCACCAGGCTGGGTGCTGCTTTCAGGGCTCCAACAGCACACAGGGCTTCCCCTACCCGCCAGGCGCCCCTCTGGCCAGGGGCTGCTGACTGTCCTCCAGGTCTGTCACGGCACCCAGTGCACGGTGGGTGCTGAGAAAATGGGAGCTATTGTTGTCTTCATCATCACCATCATCATTCTTACTCTTCCCCAGCACTGTGTACAAGTCTCTGGCAAATCACATTAATAACGGTAACAGCCTCATTTACAGAGGACTTGCTGTGTGTGTCGCCCTATTTAATCCACAGCATACAAAGCAGGTGCTATTCTCCCCATTCTACAAATAAGAGAAACTGAGGCTCAGAGAGATTTAGTAATTTGCCCAATAAAAGAGCCAGCATCCCAGCTCCTAGCCATGTCAGGATACGACCTCCAGCACCCAACAGGACACTCTCTCCTCTAACTTTTCTCCTCCAGATCTTTACAGCAGAACGGTCAATGGTGCCAATCAATCAATTATCAATTATCAGGTTATTCTGTTTAAAAAAAAAAAGCAGCCTGTTGGGGTTGATTATGCACAAACTGATGCCTGGTGTGAGATGTGTCTGCTCTCCTTGCTTCCGGTCTGCTTTTCCAAGTCCCATACCCCATACACCGGCCCCAAATCACTCCAGCCCATGGGATCTGGTGATCAAGGTCCCAGGCCTGTCTCTGCCCCTTGTGGGTCATGTGGCCTTGGCCAAGGTGGCTCTCACAGCCTTGGTTTCATCATCAGGTACGGGGAGGAGGCAATGGCAATACCAACTCTGTTCACCGCATGTGGCTTTTCTGACAACCGAATGACGTACCACTGGGAAAATGCTTGGTAGTTGGAAAGTGGTTCCAGCTGGCCGGGCGAGGCTGTCACTCCCACCACTCTGTGGCTGCTCCATGCGTCAGCATTCACCGGGCACCTCACATGTCACCCCACGCTTGCTTCCCTTTATTCCCATCAGTTCAGCAATTCAGTGGGTTCTCAGAGGACGGGGCCCAGGTCAACTCCATTTTCTGAGCTCTCCCTCCCCCTATACACTGTCCCACAGTCAGGCCTCCTTAATGATCACTGAGGGTAGAAGGGGCCTGTGGCACAGACCCGTGCTTCCCAACCCAAGGAGCCCCTTCCCACGGCCTGGGGTTGTGGCAGATGGGCCCCCACCCAAGCGAAGTGGCCTATTCCTCTTGCCCACACTATTCCCAGAGGCAATTCATATCCTGGATGCTCCCTTGAAGGCCCAGATCAATATGGCCTCTGCTGAGAAGCCCTTCCAGACTCCCCTCCCACCGCAGCACTGGCCACGCCCTCCTTGGGCTTCCCTTGCTCCTTCTCTGTTACAGCAACCACAGCCAAAACAGCTCTTCAGGGTACC